AAGAGCCCTGGGGTGTCCTGGTCTCCTCAGGGTGAGCGGTTGGAAACCCCCAGTTGCTCCATAGGAGAAAGATGAAGTTTTCTACTCTCATGAAGAGTTACAGTCTGGGAGCTCCCCAGGGAAAGTCCTGCCTTGTCCTGCAGGTCACCATGAGTCGGAATGAACCCTGTGGTAGCGAGTGAGAGGGCAGCACAGATGGGAACAGAGACTCATCAAAGGACCAAATTAGTTGGGGCCTACCCAGAACACAGAAAGGATTTTAGTTTTTCTTTTTAACAAGACGAGAAGTCATTGATGAATCTTGAATAGGGTGATTACAAAATCTGACTTACATTTCACAGAACCACTTTGACTATGATGCTCAGAGGAGGATACAGGGGTAGGGAAACCCATTAAAAACGGGCATAAATAACGCAGGCAAAAGATACGTGAGCCTCTGTTGTCACGCAGGTGGGCTCCAATGCAACTCGTAGAAGTAGACCTATCTGGAAATATGCTTAACGGGTGAGGTGACCTGATTTGATGATGGGTGAGATGTAGCCTGTGAGAGAAAGGAGAGTTTTGAACAGAGCCAACAGAAGTACCGAGTCTGTCACTAGTGGCACTGGCACATGCCGGGTGGGGTGGGGGTGGGGGGGGTGGGCCGGGAGTTGATTTCAGAGGAAGCATTTAATTTTGTACACACTAAGTGGTTCCTGCCTGTGGAACATTGCAGCAGAGTTTCGGAGTAGTGGTTCTCCACTTACCTAGGAAATTCAAGACAACATTCTCCACAGTTGCCTGGTGATATGGTGATGGGTAGACAGACAGATGTACAGATTGATCTGTGTGCTCTCCCTTGAGAGCAGATGATGACAAATCAAAGAAGTAGAACCTACTATGTGAAATATGATCCCAATTTTGGATGAATTCAATTTAAAAACAGAGTAGGATATGTGTGTGTAATGTAATTGGAGGCATATGCAACAAAATGTTAACAGAATTAGGTATAAAAGTCAGTTTGGCCATGACCTTTAGATCTTATATATGAATGTGTGGTAGTGTCTGCTTTAAAAAAGAAGAAGAGGAGGAAGGGAAGAATGCTGTTTGGGTGAGCTATAAAAGCCATTAATTTCTAGAACAAAGATCTGCCACCTTTCTCTCTGCTGTAATTATGACCCAGACTACCCTCCGCTTCAATTTCCCTCTCTCTCACTGTTCATCTGTAGCTTCCCCTCATCGGGTGCCACCACGGAGGCTTCAGATGGCTACGAAACCCTGGCCTGCTTCTCACAGCTGACCTCACAGTGGAACCCGAGTTCAAAGCCAAGCTCAGCAGTTACCTCAGAGTTCTGAAGAATGAGGTTTTCTTCTTTACTGTGCTTGCCAATTTGTTCCTCAAGCATGATTTTATTTTATTTTTCTGGTAAGGTCATGACATTTAGAAGAGCTTGGTCCCGAAATTAAATGTTCCTTTATACATTTAATTTCTGGCCCCAATATAGTACTGAATAATAAGTGAATGAAGCTGAATGGGTATGGAAAGGTTAATATAAACTGCTTTTAAATTACAAGTTTGCAAGCCTGAGGCCTTCACCCTGTTATACAATAGGCATTAAGAGAAACATGTTCTTTCTGGGATGCAAAGATAAATCTCCATCTTGCTGGGAGCCTCTGAAGCAGGACTCTTTCAGGGTTTTTTACAGCAAGAGGGACTCCTTACCCCATCTCTTTTGCACCTCCTCCTGTTCCCATTTACACACATTCCCCCAACTCCACTTGTGATGAGTGATGGAATTAGACAACCATCTGTCAACCCAGGTCTTGTTTCCCCCAGAATCTAGCCCTCAGGTTGAAAACACCATTTGAGAAAAGAAAATCATTTTAGACTATTTTTCTACTGCTCCACATCGCTCCACTGGAAGGAAGCTGTGATTTTCTCCTTAGCACACCCTGCTGGAAACATTTGCAGCCCTCTTTCCTCCCCTACCTGAGGGGCACATGCCCCCCCGCCCAGCACACGCCAGGCCCACGAGATTGAGTTCACACACTTCCCAGAATTTCTTAGATTTCTCCTCCAGACTCAAAGGAATTCAGTGTCCATAGAAGGGGAGATGGCCTTATTCTCCTGGCTTCCTCCTCCAGATGATTTGGAAACATTGGGAGGGGGAAGGAGGGACCCTACAGAATGCCATTCAAAACTGTTCTGTTTGCAAGGGGCACGATGGCACTGTCTCTGTGGGGGGTTGATGTGTCAGCGTTCTGGCAAGTGGGTGCCATCGCAAGAGAACTTCAATCTACCTCTGATCGAGCTCAGCTCGAGACCTTTCATCCTCGCCACGCTGAACCGTCCATCGATTGTGGCCTGAAGTTATACATGTCGTAGGAGCAAAAGCACCACCTTACCATGCAGGAGACAGACGACGCTCATTTCTGAACTCTGCCCATTGTCTCACTTTAGATTACATTTCTTTCTCTCAAAAGACCTTTATTTTTCTCTTCTGATAAATGGGGACTGAATATGGGCCAGTGAGAGTCAAATGCTTTCCTATAGGCAAGGAAGAGGGACTGCTGAATCCGATAGGCTGTGGAGTCCTAGCAGCAAAGAACACCTGCATTTTCTTTCCATATAATTCTATTTGAGGCAAGATTCATAAAAATATCTTGTGCATAAGAAAAGAAATGGCCGCAGGTCATGTTCACGGAGAGAGACTTTGGGAAACCACTCTTGGCGAGAGAAAGGCATACAGGGCAGCCTCGCGCTTCCTCTGCTCCTCAGTAGGGACAAGGAAGAGTCAGTAACTCAGAAAAGCCTGGCACACCAAACAGAGGACCAGTAACAAGCTGCATGGCCATGGTGAGCAGAGATCTTGGCAGGATGCAGTGAGGATGAGCAGTGCAGTCAGATCACGACAGGAAGAACGCCATATATGGGGATGGGCAAAATGACAGACGACACCAGCAACCGCTTCCCACCAATTGCACAACTCTGCCAAAAGCCCCCACGCCATGCTTACTTCCCCAGAATGTAGAGAAACCTTAGAGCAGTGGTTCTCAGCCTGCCTCATGCCCGGCCCTTTCAGACAGTTCCTCAGGTGGTGGTGACCCTCAACCATAAAATTGTTTTCGTTGCTACCTCAGCACTGTCATTTTGCTACTGTTATGAATCGGGCAACCCCTGTGAAAGGGTCATTCAACCCCCAAAGAGGTCATGACCCACAGGTTGAGAACCGCTGTCTTAAAGAAGAGGAGAAAAATCCTGGAATATCTGACTTGAAATCTAATTCTTAAATCTTCAGAATTTAGCTGGAAGTGACTACATTAATGTTTTCATTACAGGTGGATCAAAGATTCTAAACAGAGGGTAAGGTCCCAAATAAAACAACAGCAATAATAATACCACCACATTTTTGGCATTCCTGTCTTCTTTGCATTAAGTCCAAAAACAAGGCTGCTGCTGAAGCGAAGGTTGGGAGCCACAGTGTTTCAAACAAGGGTGAAGAGACTATCTGTGGCCACCTGTCCCATCTGTCCCACCTGTGGCTTCTGCATGCACCCACTTTGTCTTCAGTGATTGTGTAGGGAAGGTGAGTACCACAGAGTACCAGGTTATTAGAACACAGTGTTCTTATGGCGAGGGAGGCCTTGAGTAGAGGCCCAAGGTCCATCTGCTGTATTAATACTTAACGTATAAACATATGTAAATTGGCCTCTGTCCCTTTCATTATAAATATATTTACATATATAATACCTATGAAATACCTCTGTAAATAGCTTTTTCTTCCTACTTCTTTCCTCTATTTCCTTTCCTCCTGTCCCACTAGCATGCTCACCCTCCACTCGGATCTTAATAATTCATCTTGGATACATTGTATTTGACCAAACTCCAACAGGTCCCCTCGCATCATTTTTAGATCTCTTCTGACTCACAGTGACCCTATCGGACAAGCTCTAACATACATATTCACACCCTGTTCCTTCTTCTTAATTACAAATAGCTGCTCACTTTAGAAGACACAAGCATGCATGTGTTCTTGTGTGCACATGCACACCCCCACAGAAACATATAAACAAGTTGCTGATGAGTCACGTATGACTCCTGGCAGTAGTATATGTGCCAGAGGAGAACTTTGCCCTGTAGGGTTCAATGGCTGATGTCTTAGAGGTAGATTACTAAGTCTTTCTTCTAAGATGCCTAAGAGTGGATTTGAACTGGGAGGATTTGCACTGTCAACCATTCAGTTACTAATTGAGCACCAAACCATTTGCAGCCTTCAGGGACTCTTACGCGTACACTCATACACACACACACACACACACACACACACACATTTTGCTTGGATTAATCCGCTAAAACCGAGAAAGCTCCAGGTCCACAAAAGCAAAAATCAAACTTCTATGCCTGCTCTTAGGAAGGAAGGCTCAACAAGGGCCGCGAGGAGACGAATGCAGTAACATTGCTTTCTCTGTCCTGAAGACATCCAAACAAGGCCCACTTTCCTGCCCCTCCTGGCCTCGGCAGAGAAACCACTGCCCCTGGGGGGCAGCTGCTTTCATGTGTCCCCTGGCTCTGTGCTGAATTCCAAGCAGAATATATTAATACAGAAATTCGGTGGGGGTGGGGAGACTGCACTGTTGTGACATCTCTCCAGACTCTGTTTTGAAATTTGGCCTTGAGAAGTTCAAAGGATTTGAGAGATTAGAGTTCAAGAAGACCAAGATGTACCTCAGAGCAGGCCCTGGTCTTAGATGCTGAAAATCCGCCCCTCCCTCCCCATAGCCAATTTGACCTGTAAAAGAACTTAGTGCATAGCATGGTCTAACAGAATGATGTTCAAAGACTCTCAGATCTTCTTTTTCCTTGGATTTGTTGTGGAAGGCAATTCAGTTTAGAGTCTCTAGATACGCTGGAGTACTTGCAAAGTATGCCCACCTCCCCAGAACAGCTCTGAGACATCCCAGCCTGCCCAGCAACCCCCCTCCACACTTCCTCCATGGAATCCCCTGCAATCCCCACTCACCATTCTTTTCAGCCTTGTGTTTCGGGGGCTCAGGTTCCGGGAGACACGGGCAGGGCCCATCACAGAGAATGGTGAGGCTTTTGCCAGTAGAACATGCATGGAACTCCAACTTGCACTGCAAGAGAGAATGAGAACAGGCCTTGAGAATGTAGTCACACCAGACATGTACTCGCCTCCTAGGAAACAGCCAGTGACCCTCACAGGGCCCAGAGTCAGCGGAGAGAGATGTCCGACTCGGCTCCAGATCTTAATTACACAATTTCAGAAAAGAAATGGCCTTTGGTATGTTTCCAAATGTATAAGAAAACAGGTTTTTTAAAAATAATAAAACAGTGCAGAATCACGGTAAAGCTTAACATAATGAGTGATACGCTCAACAGAAACAGTTTATGAAATAAGTTTATTAGTATGATGTTTAACATCACTGGAATCCCCCAGGGTCCACCTGGTCCTCCCATGTCCCAACAGAAGGCTTCTGCATGGCACTTCCTCCAGCGCAGACTCTCCCTCCCTCTTCCTGGGGAGGAACAGGATCAATCTCTTCTCTAAGTCCAGATGGCACACAGGAGGCTGAGCGTGCTCTCCTCAGGAGAGAGGCACAATAAATGCTCCACGAAAGTTCCCTCCCCTGCTGACGAGTGCCCGCGATGGTCAATCACCTGTCTCCACTGAATACAGAGCGTCAGGGCGAGCAGTCTAGAAGCCACAGCCTCATCAAGACTGCATCAGTCACACAGGTCAGAAATGCAGCCACTTTTTGCTAGCACTCTACTCTTCAGCCTCGACTGATTCAGAAACCAAGCAGGGAAGAGGGATGTTATTTATAAGTAATTACCCTCACATTACGGAAGCAGAAACTTGGATCCAAAGAAGTAAAAAACAAAACAAAACACGGACCACATCATAATGCAGCCAGGGCTATGTACCTAATGGTCCCATCGTGCGCGCGGTCCCACAGCAAGGCCCTAGGTTGATGAGGATTCAGAGTTAAGACACCGGGCGCAGCTTTACCATGCCATCCTAGTGGTCAGAGGGTTGGCTCCTTTTTTACCTGAGAAACTCTCAAGATCGAGCCCTTGTGTAATCAGTCCTCGGCAAAAGCCCAGGGGTCCGGGACCAGACTTTGCATCTGGCATACGCTCAAAGGCAGAGGAGACAGGCAAGATGGACGGAGCTCCCACAGTGCACGGAGCTCTTATCAGGTACCTGGGGGAATCTTTTCAAAGAGAGAGCAGAGGAGATACAGTCCTTGCCCTTGGAAAGCACAAATGCAAAGAGCCACGAATATTTGCCAAGCAGCACACATGAATGCAGATGAACAGTGGTTCCTTGTGAACGAAGGAATGATTCGGTCCCCATACTGGGCACAGACTGAGAGAAAGAGTGCTTTGAACCTGGGTCCAAATGTATAGGAGTCACTCTTGTGTGACCCCAACTGTCGCCATACAGCGTCGGGCTCCCCCTGCAAAGAGGGAGGGAGAACAAGCAGGGATACCCACAGAACGTTAGCGTCTCTTCATGCAAAACTCCACCTGGTTCTCATTTGGAGTGTCCAATATGCGCTCAGCGTGGTAGAAGTCATGGGCACTGCCTAAAAAGAAGTCATGGTACAGCCTCAAACAGCAACTGATTTATCAGTGAAGCCTAACAGAGAGTGCTTTTCTAAAGCCATGTGCACAGGAGTATGGGTGAGAGAGGGTGTGGTGTGGTGGGAGTGGGTGGGTGGGGTGGTGGTGTGCTATGTGGAGTGTACGTTTCTGTAGGGCCAGAGTGTACAAGAAACCCACAAGTATGAAGGGGCCTATAGACAGCCCACATGGATCATGGATAAACAATAAATAACGAGGAGTGTTGGCAATACAGATGCTTCTTCTAAATAGCACAGCCAGCCCCTGCCACCGTCACATCTCCTCCTCCTCTGGGTTAGCTGTCTAGTACAACTCTCAATTTTGGGACTACTGTTCCTCCAACCACTTAGCAACCCACTTAGGATTTCCGAAGCTAATCCACTCAGCCAAGCCCCCTGCCATCAGGCAGATTCACACTCATAACAATCCTATAGGATGGAGTAGAACAGCCAAAAGGGATACCAAGGTTGTGGCTCTTAATTAAAGCAGACTGCCACACCTTTCTCCTGTGCCGTAGCTGAAGGCTTTGAACAGCTGACCTCTCAGTGAGTCACTGAGTGCTTTAACCACTGTGCCACCAGGGATCCTTGAAGCTAAATTGGGGAAAGTATATTTCTATGTGTTAGTCAGGGTTGACTAAAGAAACAAATCCAGGGAGACACTTAGATGTGTATAAAAAAGAGTTTTATATAAAAGAGCAATTGTATATTGAGAAATATCTCAGCCCGGTCCAGATCAAGTCCATAAGTCTGATACTAGCCCATATGTCAATATTAGTTCATAAATTCCTCTTTAGACTCACGCAGCCAAGCAATAATGCCTAATACCGAAAGATCACAGGCCAGTGGGTGGAAAGTCTTGTAGATCCAGTGGTGGAAGGATCTCAGTGCTGGTGTGGGTCTCCACGTGTCTTCTCCAGCTCTGGGGCTCTGGCTCCATCAGTGTGTCTCCATCTGGCTTGTCAACAGGAATGTCTCGCAGGGAGTGAGTGTGTGTCCCACCTCCAATGAGTTATTTATCTCCTTGGTGCCTCCAAATGAGATCATCAAGCTGCAACGTGATTGGTAGGCTAAATTCCACCCCTTCACTCTTAATAGTCTCAAGTTGACAACAGATTATGTAACTACCACATTCTCTATGCTAATTTATTGTATAGAGTTCAAAGTAACACTTTACTTTAAAGCATGATCACATTGATTTTATGATTGCTTGATAATATCTATAATAAATTGTCAGATTATTACTAACTTGCCTTCCTTTCTGGAGTCCCAGCTGGCAAGCCTCTGCTTCTGATCACTAACTCTCCTGTGTCTTGCAGCCAAGCACTTCCTTATGGCAGACTCGGCTTCCCCTCCTCAATGATATCAACCCTGGTCACAAGACTTGCTTTGGACAGGGGTCTGTGATTTTTCAGAAGTAACTTGATCACCAGGTCTTTTTTCCAAGGCACCTCTGGGTGAACTAGAACCTCTAATTTTGGTTAACAGTTGACCTTGTTAGGCATTTGTATCACCCGACTGCATATAAAAAAGTTTTGACTCATCTTGACTCTACAAAGCAGAGCAGAACTGCCCCTGTGGGTTTCTGAGACTATAACTCTTTAAGGGAGTAGAAAGCCTCATCTTTCTCCCATGGAGCTGCTGGTGAATTTGTACTGCTGTCACAGTTGGTGGCCTAACTGTGCCGCGATGCCACCATCTAGGAGAGTATATGTTCAATGAATCGTTCCTCTCACTGCAAACAGTAGATGTTTAATACATTGTTGTTGAGTGATAAACAGAGGAGGGAGGAGAGCTGTCTACTCAACTATCCTAATCTCTGTTCTAACCACTAGGAACTTGGCAGGGTTGCTTATACAAGGAATACGGTTGCCGAAGCTCAGCATTCAAGTTGTTCATCCTGAAACCATCCTTGCCCACATCTGCTCCTAATCTGTTCCTAAAGTACCACATTCTGTACTCTGCTTATCAGCCTTCAAGTTCCCCCTAGCCTACCACTGCAGTTGGAGCCTAATCTAATGGCCTGCCAGGTGCCCACAACACCTGTCCATTTGGGTGACCTTTGCTAGACTAGGATCCCAGGGGGGCTGCCATTCCTGGGGCTGCAGCACCCCCTCTCCTATATGGTGCCTATTGGCAGTCTGTGGAGGCAGCCAGGCAGCTTCCCAGACTCCAGGAAAATACCACCAGAAAAAAGCAATATTTTTCTGCAACAGTAAAAAATCCAAATTTCAAGGGCAGAGATCTTCTTTTTATCTATCAGGACAACATTTGACATTTAAATGAAGCTCAAAGGCTATGAATTCAATTTTATATCAAACTCATAACATACTATTTAGAGATACATCCATATGTGGTAAAGCTACTTTTAAAGAGAGGAGGAAGGATAGCAAATACCATCAAGATAGGGGTTCCCTCCAAAGGGAAGGTAGATGGCTGGGATCAGATAGGAGTCAGATGCTCACAAGAACCAAAAAACCCAAACCCCCTCTCTGCAGATGCCTTCATACCTGTCAGTCTCTTATGAACTCCAGCCCTGTATGCACCCCCGCCCCAACAAAAACCATCACCAATATCAACCGCACCACCTGACTCACAATGGACCTACACAGGGTTTCCAAGACTATAAATCTTCACAGGGCCAGATGGTACCATCTTTCTCCCATGGAGAGGCTGGTATGTTTGAATTACTGATCCTGCCACAACACGCCCAAGCTTACCCAAGAATGCCACCATGAAAACAGGCCATGCAGTTTTAAATCGTAACTGATATTAGATGGGTGGTGTTAGATTTTGTGTTATTGCTAAGCTCAATAAGTCATGTAAGTGACAAACATATTTTTATATAATAAATTTTATATATCAAATACTTTTAATAAAGTACAAATATGTTGGTATATGATGTTATAGAATGTCATAAAATATATAATATATTCACAATAGAATATGAATATATTACATTATACGTACTAAAAAATGTAAAACCCATTTGATAAGCTTTGCTTGAGATAACATCACACTTAATAACATGTCCTGGGAAATCTCTGGAGAGAGCAGGTGAGAGCATCAGTGTGGTCACATGCCTCGGGGAAGGGGGGAGGTCACACAGCTCCACACCTGAGTCTTGAGTGATCACTGGGCAGAGTCTCCAGATGGCCAGCAAGCGAGACAGCGGAGGAACGAATGATCTGTCTCTTCCTATTGTCTTCCTCGAATTCCCACCAAGGATGTTTGAGGTGCCAATCATTTGCCACCATTAGCTCCCATTATTTTCTTTCTGAAATCAACACCCATAGGCACCTCCAAAGGAGCTCTCATGGCATCGTGGATTTTACATGTTGGGCTGCTGACCACAAGGCCAACAGTTTGAAACCTCAAACCACTCCGAGTAGAAAGATGAGGCTTTCTGCTCGCATCAAGGGTTGTAGTCTGGAAACCCACAGTTCTCCTCTGTCCTGTACAGTCACTAAGAGTTGGAATCAACTCAA